AAGACTTGCAATAATCAGATTTAGCTCTTGCATAATGTATGTTTAATATACGAAAGTTGTGGACCCCAGGCCACAATATTTGTCTGGTTTAGACGAAACTTCAAATATGTGGTGCACATCGGACTACAACTGTTTAAGTTATGGCTTCTGTCTTTTACGCATAATGTGAAATATGTAAATAATCTATCACTCATATATGATCTGAATTACAAATAAAATTCTGTTCTCTTCTGTACGAAGTTCGTGGACACTCCAGAGATCACAATTTTTGTCCTATTCAAATGTTAAGGAAGGATCAACCGATCTCAGATTAGTTCAGTTGCGGTGCGTATCGGACCGCAACTTCTTTGATTTTGGCCACTGCGTTTTACGCCAAATGTGTAACAAAGATTGAGAGCTTCCTCGACCCTCGTGTAATGAATTTGTGAACACGAAAGCACGAAATCTGTCGATTCTCGTCATTCTATGCAGGTCTTTCTGTCCGTCAGGGACAAACCCTTACGCTAATCAGCATGCCACGACCTAGTACTGTTCCGGGGTCCCCTTGTCGATGCTTTATGGAAAGATGACTGTGCAAGTAATTAATGACCAGCATCCATTCAATTTGGGCTTCAGGTGGGGATCCATACGCTTCAAGGTTGGGCGTGTTTATTATTATGATAAGTTTGTTCCGCCTATTTCTGTAGATTATGTATTGTATAGGTTTATTAATAATACGTAGGCCTACCACACGTGTCTCTATAACCACAAGGGGTGGGGGGGGTGGATGGCTGAATGGTTAGCGTGCGTGCGCTGTATCATAAAGCCTATCATTGAGTCGACTGGCGTGGTTTCGAATCCCCGGTTGTACGTGACGAGGAGTAGGGTCGCCTGTCCAACCTCGTGGGTTTTCTCCGGGTCCTGCGGTTTCCTCCCACTGCTAAAGACCCCTATGCGCAAGCGAATTAGGCCTATTGAAATAAAATTAAACCATATGTTGATCCCGAAATGACCTAGTTTGTGTCGAGTGGACGTTAAACCCCATTTCTCTCTCTCTCTCTCTCTCTCTCTCTCTAACCACAAGACGATGTAATATTATTGTGATATGGAATGTACTGTTTAAACAACAGACACCTGATTAATCATGTTTATTGTTTTGTCAATTAATACTTTTTAGGTAGCCCACTTCTTGCTGTAATCACTTGATTGATTGTATTATTCTCTTTGATAAGTTTATGTTTTCGATAAATTCCGGCAATATCCGGTGCGTTTGCAATTTTTTAAGCAGGCGAAAGTGTTAAACTAGAAATTATTTCCCGTTAAGGACTGGGTGACCCTCGAGTGATAATGCCTATTTCCCAGCAAATCCATTCCATGGGCAATCTACCCCGGTTAAAAAACATGGCAATTAACGTATTTAGATAGGGATTACTTAAACATACATAATGCAAGAGCTAAATCTGCCTATTGCAGGTCTTTCTTAGGCCTGAAATTTGTTATCTAAATTATTAATTAGACCTCAATCAACTCTCGGTGTCAACTCTAGCCTGCGATATTTATTGGATTATTATCCGATTTGCTGCTCATCTTTAATTCATGATTTAATCATGAAGTGGATAATCGAGACTATGTTTTTTTTATCGTACTGACTTTAGTGATGATGATCGTGGCTATAAGGCCGAAATTTCAATCGCTTTATTCTAGGTTCATGGTGGATCAATTTGACTGAAATTTACAGAAAATTGCCTTTGCATTATCTAGTTTTTAACTATTATAGTGAGAACTGCCAGTACTTTATCTAATCTCCCATAATGTATCATTAACAGATTTTAAGCGGAATGCCACCGCTTTAGTGTAGTCCCTTTAGCTTGTGATTCTGAGAGAACTTGTCTCAGTTTACATACAAGTGGGCTAATAACACTCATTTTCCTTGTAATCACATAACGTATCCAGACTGTGTGCTTATTTCACGCATTTCTGTGTAGTCATAACAAATTACAGTTATGAAATGATTGTAACGACCCACATTTTTAACCAATCGGGCTAATGAAAACGGCATACGTCGTGCAGAATGCCCGTTACAAGGTTTGCATATCTGTTATTGCTGTTCATCATGAAACCGGGCAATACTTTACGTTAATAACATTTACTAGGTCATTACGACATGTATTTAATGATATTTATACAAATAACAAAGTCATTTTTTCTCTATTTTCATTTTATTGTCATCTTTGTCAGTGACGAATGTTGGATATATTTGGGTAGCAATTTCATTGAAGTGTGAAACCGTTAAAATCGTCAGGCCATTATCAATAATGTCAATATAATTGATTTCATCATCAATGACCCTTTGTTATCTCTGAATATGGCGTGCAGCATTATGCGCAAACACTGCAGATAAAGGGCTCTAACTGTAGTGATTGTTTTGTCTGTTTATTTAAGGAGGTGTTTTGTTTTGAATAAATGCAAATATCAGGAATATGAAATTTATAGAGCAGTTTTAAATAAGAGCAGCGGCGATTAAATCGAAATTCGTGTGTGTATGCAGGATTTGTATTAAAGGAACCCGGGATTGTCTAAGCAGATATAGATTGAAATAGGTCACTTCGGCGGAATATGGCATAAATTTATGTTCATTGGCCCTTGTAAAAATAACTACTAGCATAGTTGACATTTTTTTTTGTTTTGTTTTTTTTTTTAGGTGGGGTTGTCAGGTGGGGGTTGTGAGTGGGTCGAATAAAGGACATTTTTGATTGAACGTGGGAATAACGGCAGCAAGAATTACACACAGACCAGACATTAATGAATACAATGGTGTGCGAAAAAAAGGGCACAACTACCGGTTGAGTTAGACGTTTTCTTATGCCGCCCAATCATGTGTTCATCAGTTCAAACGGCAATCTCCAAGTCTCACACTCCATCTTAATTAGACGTTGCGAAATTTTACCTTCTTCTTAAACTTCCAGGAATTTCCTTGAACCATGCAGTTGTTTAAATAATATTATGAAGTATGTTTATTCAAGTTATGAGTTGCTAGGTCAACCCATATCATGATACCAAATACACAGCAAAACTATTTATTAAACAAAACACACCATTTCCCGTTTCTACTTAGTTCGATTTTCTTTTATGATGCCAATCAACTATTACTAAGCAGTGACCCCACTAATAATCAATCATCCTGTTTATTTTCATCACTCGCAATAATATCTGAATCGATTATCTCCCTGGATGAATTCTTATATAATAACCAGTCTTTAATATCTCCGACACTCAATTCAAGCAAAATTACAAAAGCTCTTCTAAACGGAAACAAAAAAATAAAAGTTATGCAGAAAAACGTCGATCTCTTCCGATTTGTTTTTAAATTTCTTGAATTAACCAAACGTTTTAAATGATCGTTAAGTACTCGTATCTCAGTCAATTTACATGTACACGAATACAGAATTACATGTACTACACTGAAAAAAAACTTGTGTTGGATCTCAACACAAGTACTTGTGTGAAAATTATTCTACACAAAACTTGTGTTGTTTTGCATTGCATTAACACAAACTTGTGTTCTTTTTAATGCATTAACACAAATCTTGTGGGTTTTTTCATATAATTAACACAAGTAATGTGTACCGTCAACAATTTTTTTTTTTTTAAATTTGAATTTATAAGAAAAGTATTTTTTACTCAGACATGATGGCCAGACAGACTTGGATGCTAATTGGTGTTAAGATGTCTGTAGTTAAAATAAAGTTGTTGATTTTTTATGGACCCAATAAACTGGTAGATCAAAGGCCTATTGAGCGCTCATGCCCGGTGTGATTTTAACAATTGACTCCAAATGCGTTGACAGGAAAATAAGTAAAACTATTATTTAATGTGATTGGTTGATAAAATCAACGTACTATAGGCTACATTTTGTCTGCGATATCATCTCGGTGCAACCGGACATTAAATGAATTGATTGCACACAATTCATTTACCATTTAACAGCGTGCTGAAATGATTTTTGAGCAGTGATATGTTTGACAAATGTAAGCTAATGGTCACAGAGAATAAAAGAACGCAGGTGTGTGTATATATTTATATAAAACAAAATAATACCATGTTTGTAATTTAGCATCGATATTGTTTTTGTGTATAATATTAGTATTTCGTTTCCTTAAAAAAAAATCCAACAATTTAACCCGGAAGTTCATGTTTAAAATGGCGGGGACAGGGAAAAAATTTCGGCATGTTATTATCAAATCTGTTCAATTTTTCTGAAATCGTGCTTAATTAACATTAGTTGTTCGGCGCTACGATGTTGTTCAAATACTTACATTACAGAATCACATTATGTTTAAACCAGAAACGGCTCGACTTGAACCAGCAGGTAAGAATCTGTTTTGAAATTATATCTTGGGAGGTTGGATTGGCGTGGGAGACCCGATTGGCGGCCATTTTGATTCTTGTTTCATGATTTTTTATTAGATTTTGCCAAGAGTAGACATAAACGCGGGCACAGACTAGAAAAAATCTTTTTACACTTTTGTGTTAGTTGAATTGTAATCTAAAAAAAAACAACCTTAAATCAAATAAGCAGATATTTTCCCCAATTCTCCGTTCAACCTCTGACTCTGTGTAATATTATTAGGCCCCTATTTTCCTGATTCAGTCACAGTTAATAAATAATGAAACTAGAATCAGTCTCTCTAGTTTCTCTATAGTTTCATTATTTTTTCCAGTCAGTGATGATATGACTCTTTCCACCTTACAGCAATTATTGAGAATTTACCGTTCAAGGACTCCATTGGCATTGAATTGAAGAAAAACTGGTAACAATTTCATTTAATTTTTATATTTTCTATTTTTTTTTTTTACCAATGTCCTACAATGATTAGTGTATGTGAACATACAATCCCAATTAAGTAAAGTATTTATATGACTCTTACATGCAACAGAGAGAGAGAAAAATGACATAAAACAAGGCCTTACATGTACTTGTATTTGAAGAATCAAGTAGTCCAAGCTATGCCTATATGCATACCGGTAATCAACTACGACGACGATTAGCTTACTTCCGTTTCCACCCTTTCCCTGCACACTGTTCCATTCTACTTAGCCTACAGACGCTAGGTCGTTTCGGGAAAAAGGACAGGTAAGGTTAAATTTAATATGAATAATTCGTTTGCGGGTATGGGTATTTTACTATTTAGCAAACGGAGGAAATCGAATGACCCAGAGAAAAAACTCAAGAGATTGGACAGGCGACTCTACTCCTTGAAATCGAAACCATGCCACTTAACACAATGACAGACCCTGTGATTTCATGTGCATGCATTAACTACTAGACCATCAGCCCCACCCCATATTGAATAAAAGTATGGCTTATTTCAAATATGATATTTACATATAAAGAAAGTAGAGAGACTTCAATCTTACTAGAAAAATACTAGATTACCTGAAATGAAATGGGGTTTAAAGACAACGTCCTACTGTTCAGCTCTGACTGGTCTAATGCAGTGTGCTAAGAGAAAATGTTTGTCCGGGCAACGACACTATGGCCTACTAACATTTTTTGACTTAATCAAAACTGTCTAGTCAATTTAAGCCAACTAATACATTGCATATTTTTTTTCAGTTACCCACCTCGGAAGATCAAGACAGTTGGAAAGGGCTATTGATATTGTGGAAGCGTTTTCTCACAGATGTTGCTTATCAGACAAAGGCTATGTAAGTACCATGCATATTTGCTTTTTGAATCATTAACTGGTTCTATACACTTGGTGGGGGGGGGGGGGTGGATGGCCGAATGGTTAGCATGTGCGTGCTGTATCATACGGCCTGTCATTGAGTCAACTGACGTGGTTTCGAATCCCCGGTTGTACGTGACAAGGAGTAGGGTCGCCTGTTCAACCTCGTGGGTTTTCTCCAGGTCCTCCGGTTTCCTCCCACTGCAAAAGACCACTACGCGCAAGCGAATTAATGAAATAAAATTAAACCATATGTTAGTCCCGAAATGACCTAGTTTGTGTCGAGTGGACGTTGAACCCCATTTCTCTCTCTCTCTATACACTTGGTAATCTAGTTCTTCTTTTTGGGGCATAGTCTAGCGCTATGCCATTTCAAATACGATCAACATGAAACTCAGCAGGCTTGTTTGGTTGATATACAGTTTTGATATATTACTTCAAAACTATAAGATGGATGCAATGTTACACCCTTTCATAATCATTATTATGAAGCGTTCAAATGCATGAATTTGTAAAATATAATTAATATCATATTGTAATACTGTTTGCAATACTGTATTCACAATTGCCTTAGTGGAGATAATTGGTAAATCAAATGATTATTTTTTCATTATTGTCTTTTTTTCAAGACTTTTGTTCTGGCTTCTGACCCATTGAGGCATAATAATCTACCTGGGTCTGTAACTTGAAAAGGCACAATAAGTATTATGCAAAGTTGAAACAAAATAGAGACTCAACGTGTGGAAAAATAAGTTGTTTATTTAATAATTCTGAACCGTAGAAAGTATATTTATTGCCAACTCAACCATATACTATCATCCGGGGTTTATGGACCTTCTTATAGTCCAACCTTCGACGATGGGTTGTATGTTCAATCTAGTTGGAGGTGTACGATTGAACATACAATAATTCAATAACTCACTTCTCTTAGTATAATCTTATATTCTGTAACAATATCTGACAATGATAATATATACATATAATACTGACCCACAGGCTAGGTAACGTAATAAGGAACAGCATCTAAGAAATAACTTGTCACTATATCAGAGACCTGCCCTTCAGTATGTCCCGCTGCCTGCCTGTGGTTAACTCGCCTTTTTCTAATATATACAATTTTCAGGACTTTTATACCTTAGCTTTGTTTCTTAGTTACCCTAACTTTATAATCCTTAATACCTTACTGGATTAACTTTACAATAGATAATAATTTATGAAACAATGTCTCTCTAATATAATTACAGAGTTTATTTTAATTAGGATTCTGGCTAATCTATAATGGCTGGGGCCTCAAATTAACTATGCTCTAATTCTACCTGGTCATAATACTTGAATATTAAGCCATCAAATTATTTTATAATTTTGAAAATGAAATGAAATGGGGTTTAACATCCTACATCCTAGCTCATAAACTGGGCTAATGAAGATGGGCATACACCATACAGTGTGCTATGAGGGAAATTTTGCCCGGGCAGCGGCACTACAGCCTACTCTTATATCGAATTCAAACTGCCAAGGGATCTTTTACGTGCACGCCAATGTGTACACAGGACCTCGGTTTTTCGTCCCATCCGAACGACTAGACAGTTGTCCTTGTCAGGTCCTCCGTCTTGTATCACTGACAAGGGGAAGACACGTCGGAAAATCTGGATGAACTTTCTCAGCCAATTCAGAGATCGAACACCCGACCTCCAGGCTAGTGAGCCAGCGTCGTAGCCACGTGATCTCCTTATAATTTTGAAAAAGAATGTAGTGATTGTAAAAGCTAATAAGTTATCTGTTGCATTTGGCCTGTTATTTAAATATTTTATTTTTGTTTTTAATGTTAAATATCCCTCTCAAACACAATTATATTTTAATTCTCTCCAGAAATTTGTGTAAAATATATACTGTAAATTAAAACTTTCATCTTTTAACTGTTGAGTCAATTTAAGTCATCTAATACATGTATGTTTTTTTTCTCAGTTAACTACATCAGAAAGATAAAAACAGTTGGAAATGGCTATTCATATTGTGGAAACTTTTCTCACAGAGCTTGATAATCAGGCAAAATGTAAGTAACATACATATTTGTATTTTTAATCAGGAAGTAGTTTTATACACTTGCTTGGTAATCTAGTTATTCTTCTTGGGGCAATGCCTAGGACTCTGCTATTTTAAGTACTTGGCATGCTTGATTTTTGCCAATCACATCCATTGATTTCCTTCAAGTTGTGATAGGGCCTATGTGTAATTTTTACAGTAAATAGCAGTAAAATAATGATGGACAATATTTTACTTTTCAAATAGATTTCAATAGATTTTAAAGGGTAATATCCAATTTGTTGTCAATGGAAATAAAATAAGAATGGGTCCAAAAATAATTAGACATTGCCAAGTAAATAGGTGCTGCCATGATGTAGTAGGGAATCTAGATTTGCAGACAATACATGTATGAACCGGGTGAATAGTTGACCTATTATGAGACTTCAGTCCCAAATCTCAAGACTTTTTTCTGACTTAGCCTGACAAGGACAGCTGTCTAGTCCTTCGGATGAGACGAATATTGGAATGCACGTAAAAGATCCCCTGGCAGTTGGAATTCGATATAAGAGTAGACGATAGTGCCGCTGCCCGGGCAAAATTTCCCTCATAGCACACTGTGTGGCATATGCCCGTCTTCATTAGCCGAGTATAGGAGTTGAACAGTAGGACGTTAAACCCCATTTCATTTCATTTTTCTCTCTTTTATCCATTTGATTTGAGCATAATAATCTGCCTGGGTCTTTAAGTGGACAAGACACAATAAGCGTTACGCAAAGTTGAAACCAAATAGAGACTCAGTCTCGATGTGGCAAAATAAATTGTTTATTTAAACATTGTATTCTTATTGCCTACTTTTTATTTTTTAGGCTGGAACACCCTTGAAAGAGTATTTGATGCATGATAACAAGAGAACCCAAGCATCAATTTATTTTATACTTCTGGGAAAGAATGCATTTGACCCAATTTTTAAATATTTATTTTTTGTTATTAATGTTAAATTTTCTTCCAAAACACAATTAGATTTTAATTCTCTTCAAATATGTATGTATAATATAGCAAGTAAAGTGACATATAAATCATTTAGAATTTGGTCGGAAATCATAAAGTATTTAATAGGCATTACTAGAAACCAAATGTAGATCAAATACACCCAGAATTACAAAAAACCTTGACCTACATTAAGGTGACTTTCCCTTGCTTATGAAATGAAATACGGTTTAATATCCTGCTTTTCTGTGTTCTTAGAGTGATTCTACCCTACCCTTATATCAAATATTTCAACTGTCAAGGGTTCTTTAAAGGGAACTCAGGGGTCCGAATGGTTAACACGCACACATTTGATCAGAAGGTCTGTCATTGAGTCAAATAATTCAATTTTCAAGGGTTCTTCAAAGTGAACGCAGTTGGGTTGGTTTCGATTCTGGGGGGTGGGTGGTGGCCGAATGGTTAGCACGTGTGTGCTGTATCATACGGCCTGTCATTGAGTCAACTGGCATGGTTTCGAATCCCGGTTTTAGACAAGGAGTAGGGTCGCCTGTGCAATCTTGTGGGTTTTCTCCGGGACCTCCGGTTTCCTCCCACTGCTAAAGACCCCTACGCGCAAGCGAATTATTGAAATAAAATTAAACCATATGTTAGTCCCGAAATGACCTAGTTTGTGTCGAGTGGACGTTAAACCCCATTTCTCTCTCTCTCTCTTTTGATTCCAGACTTGTACCCAATTATCCCTTGCCATATCCAACACTACTGAAAAGTGGGAACTATGCCGGAAAATCCAGTTGAAATTTCTTGGCCAACGCCTTATACTCACTGAACCACTGTGGCTTATGACTTGTGATTGTATATAAATTTTTTGTACATATATTTTTTTATTTCAATTCTGTAATCTTGATGCTTTGCTTCTTTTATTTATAAAATATTCATTTTGTTTGGGTTTTTTTTATAATGAGGAAAAGGCTCTACATCATTTTATTACTCCTGCAAAATAGTGCATTTTTCTTTTGTTAGTTTTCTGTGTATGCTAGTTATTTCTAGATGCCTCACAAATCACTTGTAGTATGATTTTGTAGCACTTTTTAGTTTTTGAAATTGTTTCAATTTAGTGCATAATTAATCTTATTAGTGCTTGGTTTGGATGTTATTAAATTTAGATATATTTGAATTATATATTTTGGGGTATGGGGTAGGGATACTGTGTACATATCTTTATATTCTCAGTTCTTGTTTTGGGGTAAAGAACAATTTAAATAGCTATTTTATATTTTGTGATGGGTAAAGTGGGGGGGGGGGGGGTCATTATATATAACACAATATAATTAGTATTAGAATTCTCTGTTTTTCTGTTAACATTTCAAATTTTGATGTATTAATTTACTTTTTCCTATGATTTTATGAATAAATAATAATCTTACAAATTTTTTTTTTGTTTCCTTCTTTTATCAAACTTTACAGGTCTAACAGAGCAAAGAGAGGGGTCCTGCATAGAAAGGTTGCTATACTGGATATAAATTGGGGAAAAATACAACACAAGTTTTTGTTGATGGTTATACACAAGTTTGTATGAAACCACACAAGTTTCAGAAATTTTAACACAAGTTTCAGAAATTTTAACACAAGTTTCAGAAATTTCAACACAAGTTTCAACACAAGTATTGTGTAGATTTTACACAAGTTTCAACACAAGTTTTGTGTTGTTTGATACATTTTAACACAAGTTTTGTGTTGTTTCAACATTTAACACAAGTTTTGTGTTGTTTCAACACAAGTTTGTGTTGTTAAATAGAGACACCTTACTTGTGTTGAAACCAACACAAGTTTGTGTTGTTTCAACACAAGTTTTTTTTCAGTGTATTAAAGGACAATATTGGTGCCAGTCATTATCACATATGTGATAGAACTAATTAAACACGTTCCAAATATAATTTTAACTCAAAGATCATTGCTACGATAGCTGAGTTATACAGGATTCCTGAATCGGAAGTGACGAGAGCCAAAGGAAAACACGAGACATACCTCTATATAACTGGCTGAAGTGCCGACTGATAACAGATACATGGGCGAATTTCTGCTCACTAATAATTCCTTCGAAGACTAAAAGTTGTTGTGTGAGACTGTGAGAGGATATCTAACAAGAGAACACGAAAGAAAAACAGTCCGTGCATTACCATGTTTTTATAAGGTAGGGGAAAGCGGGGTTAGTCCGACCCCATTCATATCTCGCGCCCACTCGGCCAAACCTCAGCAGATTCCAGTACCCTACATCTAGCCTCGGCTGTATGACGAAGTCCGCCATTGGGACTACTTTCAAGTTCCTGATTACCAACGCCGTTGCCCATGACGACGCATTTAAAGAATGTTTTACCAAGATTTCAAAGTCTGAAGCTGTTTTTCTTTCAAGTTTATCCTATTTCCTTTAGACACGGACCAGTTTGAACTGAAAAGTCTACATACGCTTCGAACGACGCAGTTTTGAGAACTTCTTTCTAAAAGCGGCAAGTTTTCCTAATAATACCCCCGTCAGACCGGGGTAGCGTCCTTACTTCGCTGCTACGGCGATGGAAAATAGTTTTAGAGCGCGTTAAGATAGCCATAAGCGTAGTGGAAACGCCAGCTATCGTGCTGTAGTCACCATGGTCGCCAATGATCGCCGAGTCACCGCGTTTATTTTGAGCATGTTCAAAGCAAACGCCAAGGTTCTGTGATCTGAACTGTAAAACTATGAGAATACGACTTTTTTTTCAAGTTTGTAGTTTTTGGGGACATTTTCGCGGGTTGTGTTCACGTTTGCCGGCGACCTTGTGCATTTTCTGGTCGCCGTACGGTCGCAGCAGCGCAGTAAGGACGCCACCCCGGTCTGACAGGGGCATAAGTAAACCGGTGCCGCATCGCAATTGTATAGGCGTAGGTACATATCACTTACTGTCATACAGCCGAGGCTTGATGTTCGCTCATTCGGACATGGTGACTTTGAGATGAAATTACTTGGATACGCCTGTCAATAAAACTATTTAATGTATGCCGTAAATTAGCCAACTCCACTGTCTTTAATCTAGTATGGTCTGCGGCAGTGGTTATCAACCTTTTTGTGCCAACGGCACACCTTGAAACACATGAAAAAAACAGCGACACACCCGACTTAATATATATGAAAAATATTTGATTTTTTTGCAAAATAAAAAACATGGCAAATCATAGACGGCATACAACTGTAGCCACAGACTAGTCATAGACACATAGTATGGCTCAAACTAAACGGCACACATAGGAAGATCTCACGGCACACCTGTGTGCCGCGGCACACTGGTTGGGAATCACTGGTCTACGGTAACGTAGCTTCAAAAGTTATCGAGATATGTTGGTTTCATTAAAAATGGTGCGAACTAGCCCCGCTCTCCCCTATAGAATGAATATAAACAAGGGAATGTACGGACTATTTCTATTTTTCTCGTGTTCTCTTATCTAATGACATTCAATTACTGTATTGAATTGTCAGCTATCCTCTTACAGTCCCATATAACAACTTTTGGTCTTCGAAGGAATTATTAGTGAGCAGAAATTCGCCCATGTATCTGTTATCAGTCGGCACTTCAGCCAGTTATATAGAGGTATGTCCCGTGTTTTCCTTTGGCGTTCGTCACTTCCGATTCGCGAATCCTGTATTACTCAGCTATCGTAGCAGTGATCTCTCTGTTAAAATTATATTTGGAATGTATTTAACCAATTCTATCACATATGTGATAATGACTGGCACCAATATTGTCCTTTAAAACAAATCAACCATAAATGTGTATTTATTAAAAAGGCTTCGGACATGTTATACATTAAAGATACATTCCTGGTTACAAACTGGGTGATTTGATGATATATTTGGACTAAAAACATATTCAAACTAATTAATTTATCATAATTGTGCTTCAAATCCTTCTCAAAACATTGCAAATGTCAGGGAATAGCCAGCTATAAATAAATCGACCAAAAGAGGTCATGTTTGTGTCACGTGACACAACGGGTGCGAGGTCGGAGGAGAATTCATTGCATACACAAGACGATGTTGCCTTTATCGCTGACTATTTATTACAAATATCGAAGCCTAATTAAATTCTCGGATTATCCACTGCCCGCGTCTTTTTCCGTGATTTTTATCTCAGAAAGTGTTGTACGTCCAACTCTTCATAAAGTTTATCAACATGTACATCAAGCGCTCAATCTCAGCGCGCAACATTCGACGTCACGCGTACAGGCACTCCTGATCATCGGGCTGTCGATTAGGGAAACCCGTACATTTTTGTCCTGTATGTGCTTCATAGTGTTTTTCAGGGAATCCATTATTTTTGTAGTAAGATTGGATATTTCTACTTTCCATATGTGTATACCAAAATTGCCATACTTTTATTGGAAATAACCACCCGAAAAATATCTATTACATAACTCCCTTGTTTGTCACTTTTCCCAATACATTGGATTTTATTGACCGAAATTGTATACAAAGTTTTATTTATGATTGATTTTTGTAGCCGAGGGTGCCCTCTTTCAGAATCTGTCGGGTCCAAGACGACCGCCATTTCAAATAATCCCCTATAATTCCCATAGTATTTAGTCTAGGGTGCTAATTTTGGTGTCTAGCCGTATGATTTTGGGGCCAAGGAATACACTTGAGATCGTTCATTATGTTGTAGGATGATTAGATGATAGTAAACTCTAAAATGACAGACAATATGGCCCTTTAACTCGCTAGCGGTGGTTGTGGGCGATTATTTCACCAAACCAAACATATCTAATGACAAACTAGATATTTCTAGAAATAGGAGCATATGAGTGATACGATAACACTACATACATGCCTATACAATGCTATAATTTCCACGAAATATTGGGTTTGGCCTCCGGAATATTGTTGGTCCTTGTCAGTGATGAGTAGTGCCCGCTCAAAGTGACAGACAAGGTGTGTGAGTTAGTTGTATTTTACGTCCGCTTCTATCGAGATGATGTCGCAGACAAGGAAAGGTATTTTATTGATATACATATCTAACACGCCATATCCAAAAGAAGAAGCCGTAGTTAATGTGGATAAACTTTCTGGTATGTGTCATGCAACGTACAATGTGTCTTGAGATAGCTTTTAAAATTATTTGACATTTTTATAATATTGGCCATGTGTGGATTCTATATTACATGTGAAATAAACATAAACCAGTGGATTGTATATTACACCTGTAATAAACATAAAGCAATGGATTGTATATTACACCTGTAATAAACATAAACCAGTGGATTGTATATTACACGTGTAATACACATAACGCAATGGATTGTATGTTACACGTGTAATAAACAAGGACAAATGGATTGTATATTACACCCGTAATTAACATAAACCAGTGCATAGTATATTACACCTGTAATAAACATAAACCAGTGGATTGTATATTACACCTGTAATAAACATAAACCAGTGGATTGTATATTACACCTGTAATAGAAATAAACCAGTGGATTGTATATTACACCTGTAATAAACATAAACCAGTAGCAGTTGATTTAAGATGCAATACAAACGGATCCGTGGCAGTACATGCTGACCAGAGTAATTTACATTAACAGTCTAAATGACATGGATAATTGAAATCTTAACAAAGAGACCAACTAACGAAAATGGTGAACTATAGGATGAATAAACTATTTATTATAAAACTAATAATATTGATATCTATTCCAATGTAACTATTTTGGATATGGTAAGCAGCAGATATACATTTTTCTTATATTTCATCGTGTCTGTACGTTTTTGTCGTGTCTTGGTCCTAGTTTGTGACTGTATCACGCTTATTGATAAAATTCCGGCATGGCTTCCCCTTACAAGATTTACCTCTCATAACACACTGCATTGCGTATGCCCGTCTTCATTGGCAAGTAGGACTTTAAACGCCATTTCATAGATTTAAAAAAGTATGATTGCTTCAGATATGGCTTTCTCAAAATTTTAATTTTGTTAAGTTTATGAATATGATGTGTAGAATATACAATGCACATCTATAACATACACTTTCTTGTCGGTTACTATTTGCAATGGTTTGCGCTAGGCCCAAAAAATAAATCCGCACTTCTCTGTGATTAGTAAGATCGAACAGGAAATTCCTTCTTTTCGATCTAAATGCAAAATAAAGTACAATTAGTCAAATCATATATTATTGATATTATTTTGCAGTGTCCAATATAATATAAATCTGACTAAATCCTCTTATATATTGTCGTATTTAATAGCCAAATCAAGTTTTTCAGAT